GGACAGTATCATCACACACAGAACTAGACTTTACAACAGCTTTTTCCCCTGCCCCAGTAACACTGATGGTAAATACAAAAATGTGAGCATATATGTGCAATAACCCCTTACTAGACATGCTCAATAATAAAACACAAATATTCCACAAGGTATGTTTGTAAGAGCATCTCATCAACAGTGTTCTCTTGGGGGACCTGAATAATAGCAGGACATTCTCCACCAAGCACTGGAAACAGGTCTGAATATAAACTGTTTTAGTATGTTATAACCCCTCACTACCTCACCAAGTGTAATGCCATATCCAACTCCACCATGTGAATTACTAAGTGCAATGTTTGAACTTCACTGTGGGAAATACTATTACTCTGTTTTTGTGTATTGCGGTTTTAATGCTTAATGTCGCCTTTATGTAACTTTTTTATTTTAAGACTAAATGTTCTTTCTAGCTTTTGACTCCCTACCTGACTCCAAAGGAGATCTATATGCCTAGACTGTCTGTTTATGCATAAATGGCAAATAAAAATCTTGAATCCTTGAATCCTATGCCTGGGTGCTGCTGCTGCTCTTGGTTCACATAACACTGCATGGTGACAGCTTACTGGCTCTTCATGTATTTTGGCTGTCACGTGAGCAGGAACCTTTTACTGGAAGTCACTGACTCCTCCGGTTGGGGCAGCTGTCTGCACAAACAGGGACAAAAGACTGCTCTGGTGACATGAGTGGTTTCAGCTGATGTACTTCCTCTGAGAGTCATCAAGGGCTTTCAAAGGCCAAAGGAGTTTGTCCACTGTGAATACGTGGTGCCTTCATGAAAGATAGTTACAGGGCGAACTAAGAAAAAGTACAACGATGCAGCTACTGCTGCAAAAGGACTGATGGAAGTCGAGAAAAGACAGTAACAGTAGATGCATGCACAGCTGTCACATCTTGTGATCAGGCTGGACGGCACGTGATAGCGTCAGAACTGACTGAATAACTGACTTAAATTGATTTGATTGTTTGACCTCACAAATAATTCTACTGCCCATCACTAATGACAGCAGTCAGCGAGTGAACCGGAGGCTGATCAGATGCGATCATTGACCACCATGTGGGACGTGAGACAGGGTCTCATAGTTGGGCTGGGGTGTTTCCCTGACGGCAGGTAGCTGGGTGGAGGTGGGTCTGTAAGTCATGTGACAATGCCAACCCTTAGCCTCTGATGGTTGGTCCCCAGGTGAATGTTGGCTGCAGCTTGGCCCTGACTCTGTGCGATGCAGCAGGACATGTTGCTCTGCCCCGCACACTGAGTCCAGGGAGGAGATGCTGCTATACCAGTTGATCCTTGAATTACAGACGCAGAGGTCATGACCTGTGTGGTCGGTTGATTTAATAGGCTTTAATCACACAAACCATTGGGGGTGATTCTGATACCACCCCAATCCCCAGCCCCCCACCCCTTTATATGTCACACTAAACGCTCTTCTACCATAAAGTCTAGGTTTATAAATTGTCTGTTCCCTTTCCTGGTCTGAAACCACACATTTCTGTTGCTTATTCTTCTTCTCCTGTTGCCTTACAAACACGCTGAGCCTCTGTATCCGAGTCAAAGGCCAGTAAAGATGACTGAACATTTTCATGTTCCTGCCGACTCCTCTCTTCGTTTGCCCACTCCAGCTTCTTATCTTGACGCTTGAGGAGCGGCGGCCTCCTCTGTGTTGTCAACATGTATGATGCAGCTCTCACACAGTGTGTTGTGTCCATGATGAAAGTGGCAACAGGGATAAACTGTTATTTAGCTTTATTTTGAAAATCTTGCCCCATTCAAATGATTGGGGAAATTCAACTTCAGCATACTTTCAGCTATTTCAGCTATTAAAATTCAAGGACATTCATGCTTTTATTCAGAATAGGGGTAAACTTAAAACTTTTGAACAGGGCCACTCCTCTAGTGGCAACACTCTGAAGAAAGTGTGTAGTCAATGATGCATATTGGAAAAGATGAGGCTAACGGCAGCACAGGCTGTTTAGCAGGTTTTCATCAGCGCTGATGTTGAGTTCAGCATTGAAAGCGTCACTGAGACAGTTCAGTATGTGACTGTGCGTTTTCCCATCGACACCATGGAAACATCTGATATAACATGACAGCGTTTATATGTTTTGTCTGAATGATTTCCTCTATACAGAAACATGCCCCTGACTTTACAATAGACACAGAAAAGAAAGAAAGAAAGTCACTCTCGGCTTTTCCCGTTTAGGGGTCGCCACAGCGACTGACGACTCCGCATGTTGACATTTGGCACGTGTTTTACGCCGGATGCCCTTCCTGACGCAACCCTGATTCGAACCACTAGAAAAGAGAGTTTAATATTGAATGTGTGAGCAGCAGCTGCTCGGGATCAAAATGTTGATTATGTTCACAACATGTAACATCAGGTCAGCAGCTGTTTAACCTCCAGCTCTCTGAAAGCAGAACCTTCACACAAACATAACTGTTTCTGATGCATTTAAGAGATTAATCAGTCACTTTTTCTATTTTATGTCAAAATTAAGGCAGCTGAAGTTCCAGCTAATTACCGTTATACAGCTCATTAACGACTGAAGAATTAATGGCACTTTGTCCAGTTTCTTTGTGGCTCTAGAGCACAGAGTCAGCTGTTAGAGGAGCTCCGGTACAGGTTGTAGTCCGGGTCACTGGCGCGGTCCCGAGTTGCAGCCAGCATGGCCTGGAACACGATCACCTTGTGCAGCAGCTCGTTCATGAAGGGGAAGGCGGGAAGCTGCTCTGTCTCTCTTGTCTCCTGCTTCTGCAGCATTTTCTCGGCCTGCTCGAACATATCATCGCTGTAGTACGTCCCTCCGTTGGCCGCCACCATCTCATCGATCTTCTTGATCAGCTGAACCACCTGAGATCTGCTCTTCCTGTTCGTGTTGTCAAAGACGTGGAAGCGGTTACCGCACCGGTTTAGCAGCTCTCGCAGTTTGTGGTTGCCGTCTTGCAGGTACTCCTGGATGGACGTCCCCTGTTGAGACAGCTTGTCACCATGAGTGAAGAGCACGATCATGTAATTCGACGCCTCCGGTCCGAAGAGCTTCTCCAAGGCTTGGACGCAGTTTTCTTCTTCTTTGGTGAACCTGCCGATCTGCATCACCAGCAGGAAGACGTGTGGACCAGGAGACGACATCTGAATGCATTTAGCGATTTCTTTCTTTATGCTATTTGCACTTTTAGACGTGTCCAGAACCCCAGGCGTGTCCACTACATGGATCTTTCTGGGGCCTTTGGCTCGCTCCGTCTCACAGGTGGCCGTCACCGACTCTGAACTCACATTGGACTCAAAGCGCCTTTTACCCAGGATGGTGTTTCCAACAGCGCTCTTCCCGACACCGGTTTTCCCAATCATCACGATCCTCAGAGCGTCACCTGCAGACACAGAGGTGCTCTGTTATCCTTCAGGGTGTGAAACCGCATTCAAAGTTACATGGGTTGTATATAATAAACTCAGTTTTCTAAAGAGAAATGAGGAATATGAATAAAAAACAACTTCACCTCTCGGGATCGAGGACCTGTTGCCCATCTCTGTCGCTCACCTGTGGCAGAATGATCAAAAAAGTGCGTCTATGCTGTTTACATGTGAAGCCGGGTCCGCCCACAGGGTGGGTCTAATCCCAGCATATATCAGCAGGACTCGGAGTGAGACGGTTCAGATCTGATCCAGACTGAGAGCCCGCGCTGAGACGCATGGAGCAGGCAGCCGATGACACGGGCCATGCCAGGCCTCCGCCACGTAAGTGACTCTTCACTTTTGTTAATTCTCTGTGCTGCTGAAACTGGGCCTTTTGTGTGTGTATGTGTGTGCGTGTGCACGTTATGGCCAGTTTTTATAAGTACATTAATGTACACTCACCGGCCGATTTTTTGGGTACACCTGTGCAGTTGTATTCAATTCAGAGCAGCGCTTCATGTGTGATTATGAAGCTGAAAATGCTTCAGTTTTTTATTCGGAGGTGTTTCTATATTTTTGTCCTACCCAGCTACGAGCATACTAGGGTCACAATATTAGGAACACCTCTGAATATAATGTAGTCCAGTACAACAACACCTTTAACTGTGACCTCAATATTAAACATATAGTTGAATTTACACATTTATGACAATTTCACCAGAAACGGAAACACTGAGCTTTATAAACACAGTTGTTAAGGTGGAGCTGTTGCACTGAAGTACATACAACTGTACAGGTGTACCTAATAAAGTGGCCGGTCAGTGTGTTTGAGGCAACACATTTAGCAGCTACATGTAAAGTCTAAAATACCACTGAGTCAAACTACATTTTCTACAAAACTTCACAAGCAGTTTGTAGTTTTAAAGCCTGATGAAGAACGTTCCCGCTCTGTGTCTGCAGAGTACAGCGACATGTCCACCGTCGTTCTGTTTGGAAAGAATTCCGACTTTAAGAAAATGATTGGAAATATCATCATCGGTAATGACATCTGGAACGTCCAAAGCTTCAACGGCTTCACTGTGGAAAAGAACGGCACATTCAAAATCGTCATCACTCCAGATTTCGAGGAAAGTCTGGACATTCACCAGGAGATCATTGACTTGATGGCGCTGTCCCACCCGGACCCCAGCCTGTTCATCCTGGCCGTGGACCCAGAGCACAGCCGAGAGGAGGAGGTTGTGGCTCAGATTGGGAAACTGCAGACCATGTTGGGAGACCACATCACAGGGCACCTGGCTGTGGTCACCCATAATGTTGAGATTTACTATTCACTCCAGCGACTGAAAGAACTGTTTAACATCCACCTGGTAAGCGCCAGTGAGAACCTCCCCGGCGACTGTCAGAGGTGGTACTCGGACCGTCAGCAGTTCCAGTTCGACTACAAGCACAGCAGGGATTTGGTGATGAGGAGAAGGAAGTGTTTAGACAGCATGAGGTAAAAGCATCGCCTCTATGTGGCACCTCTGACCACACACAGCATTTCAGCTTGTGTGTCCACCTGTGGTCGACAAAGGGGGTTTCTAATGTAGTAGCAAAACCACAGTAGAGGCACAGAATGACTTTTTATAATAAGAAAAACATTTCATATTTTTAAATGATGTCAGCAAATTGTACCTAAAGGTCTAGTCCGTGAGTTATGTCAAACTGTGATTACCCCCCCCCCAAAGGAATCCGTCCTCACATCACGTCAAAACATCTGCCACTCCTCAGTCAATTTAACTCTGAGGCTCACGCCTTAGGGCACATTATTCAAAACCCCTGCCGCCACCTCCACCTCTAGCATTGGGTCTTTCATCGTGGCTCATAAGGCAGCTTGTTCTTCTGTCTTTACAATGAGGAAACTGGAGCTCTGCCAACGACACCATCTAATGACACCATCCACCTTGCACTCAGTGCTGTAAAACCTGTTTTGTTTCAGGAAATCTTCAGCCCTGTGATTCTGCCTGGCTCTAATTCCAGTAACTCTGGCTTTGTTAATTACCCAAAAGTGCTGGGGGTTTCTCAGGACTACTCCTTCAGGCCATAGAGCTCTGGGTGAAGCAGAAGGTTCATGCTGGCTGGTCCCAGAGAAGAGTTTGATGCCCTGGGGCTTTGGCAAAGACAGCTGCTTTGTCTTTTGTTTAAAGGCTGTCAGACAGCAGCCTGATGTCTTCCTTCCGGATCTAGAGTCACTGATTTTCCAGATCTACTGCAGTCCAGAGACTGCAAAGCATCTGGCATTTGTTCACAGAAGACTGGTTGTACTGGTCGATAGGCCCCAGGTGTGACACAGGTTCAGCTTCAAATTCAGCACCTTTGTTGCAACCAGTCAGCATAAGGTGTCCAGTGCAGTGACAGGCCTGGAGAAACGAAAAGCCTGGCAGGTGTGCACAGGTACAGTGAATGCTCAGGCCACTAATCATGTGTAGAAGTGGGACCTGAGTTGGTCTGATGTTAGATCAGTGACCAAAACCCACAGGTGGCTGTCAGACCTAGTATGGCAGTAACTGAGGTCCCAAAGCTCTGAGCTCAGTGTGACCACATGGAGATTTGTTTGTGCAACTGTGATGAATCAGTCCAGAAGTCCGAGTGTAGGGCAGGACTGCTGCTCTGTATCACCTCTACGATGCTGTGATGATTAACAAAGGTCTGCTGTAATCTCTTTGTCTCAGTTTCAGAAAGGATCACCCTTCTCAACATGGCCACGTGACAGCAGCAGGTAAGTCTCTGTGTGTGTTAGGACAGAAGTGGTGTGGTAGACCACCCCTTCCTCTGCCAGCAGCATTAAACCGTCATGCTCAGGTTTAACTTCGACTGCTAATCATTTCTGCCAGTGAAACTCTAGATCCCAAAAACCAGTCTGTCATCACAGGTGCAGACCCTGCACGTCTGTCCCCTTCACAAAGTACCTATGCTGCACCTGCAAACCCAGCACTTGTACCTGGCCCAGGTGTGCTTACATCAGGTAATGTATTTTTTTTTAAGATAAGAATTGTAGTATTTTACAGTGAATGTCCATGTTCAGGGTCTTTTTGCTGAGAAAGGTTCCTTCAGAGGTCTGAGTATCTAGTGAGCTCCGTACACAGAGTTCCTTCAGAGGTCTAACTGAGTATCTAGTGAGCTCCGTACACAGTCTCTGGTGCCACCTAGAGGACCTGCTGGGAAATTCTCATGAATAACTCAATACTAACTCCTTCCAGGCTGGAGCACCTGCAGAGGGAATGAAGACTTATTTAGCATTGTAC